TCTTGGCCGGTCCTACTCTAACAGCCTAATGTCTGCTCTTATGAGATCAATCCACTTACTGGGGAAATACTTCATCCTGGGACTCTCTGCAGGTAAAGGCTAAATAGGGTCCTGGAAGTAGGCACCTGTGACAAACTCTGCGCTCTGTCTTAGATTTCCATTACGCACCCTGTTCCTGGTATTGGATTATAGAAAAAATATATACCTTACATGGAGGTCTGCTCAAATAAACCTTTTACTCCATCTTTGTCAAAAATACATTAGCGTTAAGTATTGCATGCAAACTATGTATGAGCATATATATATATATACGCACTAATTAGCCACAACATTAAAACAACTGACAGGTGAAATAAATAACATTGATTATATCGCTAAAATGGCCCCTGTTAAAGGGTGGGATATATTAGGCAGCACATGAACATTCAGTTCTTGAATTCCAAGTATTTGGAGCAACAAAAATGGGCAAGTGAAAAGTTCTGATTGACTTTGACAAGGGCCAAATATTGATGGCTAGACGACCGGGTCAGAGCATCTCCAAAATGGCCAGTCTTGTGGGATGTTGCCAGTACACAGTGTTTCAATAAAGGACAACGGGTGAACCGGCATCAGGGCCATGGACACCCAAGGCTCATTGATGATCGCGGGAAGCGAAGGCTGGCCCGTCTGGTCTGATCACACAGAAAAGCTACTGTAACTCAAATTCCTGAAAAAGTAACACTGCCAGAACACACAGTGCTTTGCATTTTGTTGCATATGGGGCAGCTGCAGACCAGTCAGAGTGCCCATGATGACCCCTGTCCACTACCAAAAACTGGGTGAGGAGACAAGAAACTCTCACTTCCAAGGAAGTGTCACTTCTGTTTTAAAGATTGCAGTGCTGGGATAAATATTTCAGACTCCACAGGCCAGAATAAGAAGCTCCTGATTGAATGGCTGCTTCCTGGAGTGGGCCAAGTCTAAAACTGCTGATCATGTGTGGGATATTGCACAAAAATAAGGAACTTTAAAAAAAGTAAGTATCTTTTTTGTCTTTACTTAATTTGGGGTTGTTTGTTTGTTTGTTTGTTTGTTTTTCGCCCGTCTTGGTTCATTAATTAATGAATGGGTAATTTCCAGTCTGGAGGGCTCACTGAAACTTTAAAAAAAGCATAGCTTGTGGAAAACAACTGTATCTGTTTAGAATCTCAGCAACACACAAAAGTTGTCTCAACTAAAATTTCCTTAAAAGACCTTTTTTGCCTTGATTAACCTACGTTTTTTTTCTTTGTTCTTCCCTCTTCCCATTATCTTCCCATAGCTTTGGCATTTTCTAGGTTTACGTGGTTGCAAAGCAATATCATCCCAATAGAATGCAAACATCTCATACCCGAGAACACAGCACAGTCTTTTGTATGAAAAAACAAAGTGCCCTCTGCAGCTGTCTTGTACATATCCAACGACTCCCGTGATATATCTTACTTCTTGAATCCCACCACAAAGACGGTTTTCTGAGATTAGGTTTATGTTAGTATAAATATTTCAAGTGTTTGAATTTTATTTTGTTTATAAACATCCACAATCACGTTATTTCCATTGTTTACAGGCAATGCATATGGCGTTTCTCAGAATGTGAGAATAAATAAGGCAGTCTGCAATCACTTTATATTTTATTTACTGTCTAAAAATCTCAGAACTCTGTAACAAAGCATCTGTTGCATTATTATTATTGTTATTTTTATTAAATTCTGATTGTTTTGCTAAGTTAATGACGGCACTTATTGTGTGACCCAGCTTAGTTCCCGTCACAATCCTAATTAACCATTAATAGCATTACACAACAATGTAAGCTAGATAACAGACATTGTTATCCAGAAGAGAGACTAATACATTGTAAAAGTTTATTTACAGAATTATAAATTTGTATAAACAAATAAAACAAAATATTGCTAGATTTTGGAAAAAGAATGGAAAAGCCAAGTTCAGTAAGAAATGTAATAGGAATGGCCTTAACAAATGTTTATATTGACATTCAGAAATTAGGATTCCGACACAGGTTTTAGTGGGGAATGATCATATGAAATGATTGGATTATTTGCTATGGAAACAGCAACAGTATTGCCAGGTGGGAGCATGTAATATGTTTTTGCTATGTGAAGGGTCCTATACATGTCAAAGAACACAAAAGGGACTCAGAGAACTGTCTGGATATCAAAGTATTGTACTCTGTCGAGTTTGTTATTATATTTTTGTTGATATAGGCTTTTCACACTGATATCACAGTGTTTAATAAATCGTTGTATTAGCATCAGTACTTTCTTCGCAACCTCTGTTGTAAGGCTTCCAGCCATTCTAAGGATCCAGATTACTGTTGGACCTTCTTAACTATTGCACTTTATCCTCATAAACTTCAGTAAAATATATAAGTAACAACTGAGTAATATGGTATTGTGTTATTTTTAATTATTCTTCCGTTTTATATGATATAATGTGAATACTCCAACTATAATGTAAGCTTTGTAAATCCAACGACATAAGGGAGACAAGCCTCCCTTAGTGTCACGATACATATTCCTCATGGCACTGTGCGATTACGGAAGTAATGTAATTTCAGTGTTCTGATGCACAGGATTCCTTATTCTGACATCATAAGTCTCCTTTTATATTGTCAGTCTATATGGTGCTTTTTTGATGATTTGTACACACGTGTTTGACATCATAGCCCTTTGTAACCAGTCACAACCCAGTACAGGGGATGTATACTTCCTGGTTGTCATTGTTTCTTTGCCTTGTTGTAGTTTCTGTGTACCCGTGAGTGCGTTATTGTCTATTATTGACTATTATTGCTCTTTGTAATCCTGGCCTTGAACTTGTAAGCCTGACCTGGCTTGTGACTTGATTGTGTGTTACTCGGATGCTCCTGACCTCGGCCTGTTACTGGTTTACTCTATGTCTGCTTATAGACATTACATGTATCTGAGGCACTAGCCTAGCTACTATAATGACCAGTACGTGCTTCTATCCTGCGTTCCTTAGGTTTGCATGTTAGGATAGGCTAATCTAGTGACACATTGTGGCACAAAGGCACGACTTCTCGAAAAGTCAAACAAAACGCACAGAAAACAAAAAATAAATTATAGCAAACACCTCCCAAAAATATGTAGACAGACTTCTTCAGCTCTTGCACTACTGTTTATTTGGGTGTTTTTTTGTTTTCCAGTCTTTTTTACTTTTTTAAGGATGAATAGTAAGTGTTTTGCGCAATGAAATGGGTTGATGAGCACTGATTTTATTTCATTTTTGTCAGCAAACTGATGCCTAATGCTCTTTCCAATGTTGGGTCGAAACGTTGCAGGGCTTCTTTTGTTCAAATAAATGTGCCTGAAGCCATTGGAGTGCCTGCACATTTTCTCTATCTACAGTAATGCTCTTTCCAAGGCAGCATTGGTCCAAAGTGACTGGTCCTTTTTCTTAAGTGAAAGGGACTGATTTGTGCGTTGATGGGAACCATTTAAAGGCACAGTAGTAGGTGAAGAAACACATCTGTAGTCCCATCAATTAGCTGCAATAAAACTGGATGTCCTGGGGAAATCGAAGAATTCCTGGACATTGTACAGCGCTACGGAATTTTCTGGCGCTATATAAATGATACAATAATAATAATATTCCTTTTGTACTAAGAGATTCTGGTTTATGTTGTTCTGCCCACCCCAACAAAATGTTGGCCTGTTCCGTTCATGACTAGGTTTAAACAAAGCAAAATGTCTTTGCAAGACAAAAGACAAAAAAAAAAAAAAAAAAAGAATTCACACAGATACACACCAGTTCATCTTAAAGAAAAATACAAAATAAACAAGGTCTGTCAGCTTGAATCAAAGACAGACTGGCCTTTAGATTCCTCCCTGTTCGTCTGCTTCAAATAGATGGCCACGATCCAAACCTGATCTGGATTTCATATAACAAAACCACCATTTACTCACTTGCAAAGTCAAATTATATCTGTAAAAAGTCCTCCGAATTTGCACAGTTCTGTGTTCTTTTATATTATTAAACTCACACAGAACTCTTGGCACCGGATCACTTTTTTTTTTAACATAACTTTTTGTCTTGTAAAGTGCAGGTGCAGACTGCAGATGGAAGGACTGCTTTGGGAATCGGCCAAGTACATAACAAAATGAATTGATAAAAGCCAATTTTGGAAGCATAATCCGTGTTAGTTTAACACAACATTTCCACTAAATGTGTGTTCAGGAGAGATATAAATTATATGATGCCTAATTACACTTTTATTTAAAAAACAATCAAGTCAAATATGTGCACTAAACTTAATAAACACACAACTTCCCTAAAAAAAATGTATTAGATCATTTTCTACTTCCTTATTGCCCACCCCTATGTCTCTCAGTGTCCCTGGTGCCTCTCAGTGTCCATAGTGTCTCAGTGCCCTTAGTGTCTCAGTGTCCCCTAGTCTCCCCATGTCTCACAGTGCCCCCAAGTGTCTCAGTGTCCTCATGTCTCACAGTGCCCCCAAGTGTCTGTGTCCCCTAGTATAAAAGAAAAAATCTCAGGCACTCACTGTGATAGATTTAAGCAGGTTTATTGAACACTGCAATGTTTTGACCTGTACCCAGGTCTTTATCAAGTCTCCAGTGTCCCCTTTATATCACAGTGTCCCCTATGCATCACAGTGTATCCATGCCCCATGTCTCCCAGTGTCCCCTCATGTCTCAAAGTCACCAGTGTCCCCATTTCTCCATGTCTCCCAGTGTCCCCAAGAATCTCAGTGTCCCCATGTCTCCAAGTGCCCCAATGTCTCTCAATGTCCCCTAGTGTCCTTGTGACATGGGGACACTGGGAGACATGGGGTTCCAGACACTAAGGGACTGGGAGACATGGGGACACTGAGACACTAGGGAACACTGGGAGACCTGGGGACACTGAGACTCCTTGGGACACTGGGAGACATGGAGAAATGGGGACACTGGGTGCCCCCTTTTTGTGTATGTTCGCCCCTTTTGGCAGTTCTGGTTATGTGATTTGTGTCAGTGGCCCACCCTTTTACCCCATCCTTAGACTTCCTGCTTTACTGGACACTGCTGTTAGGGGGTATGGGTTTACTTGAAAGATGAAAGCGTGAGATTAGCATAGGGTATGTGTTTTCTCATAGCTGAATCCTATGAGTTTCCCTCCAGCACCATCTCCATCAGATACATGACACTTAGGAGGTAGGACTGTTTTAGTGTTTTTGGTCAATAAGATTTTGAAATTAGGCCTATCATAATTGTCAGCACCAGACCCACTGGGCTCTTAATCTGGCCCTGGATATAGTGACAACTGGCCTTACAGAGGGATGTGAGACAGATGTCCCGGCTGCCTAAATCAGGTGTGCAGGTGGTGTAACTAGCCTCCAGAACGAAAGTGCAAATATCTCTAGCTGAAATGCTGCACATAAAGACTCCTAACACCATGACCACTTCTAAAAGACCTTTGATTTTTGAAAGTCTTTACATTTTTTACTTTTTTTTTTCGTTTTAAAAATGGGGGTCCAGAATCTAAAGTAAAAAAGGAACACTATAACATTAAAATCTCACTGAATAATGTAGATATTAAATTATATAATAAAATGATATCATTAAAATTAAAACGTTTGATTTCCACTCAAAGTCAATCTTGACTTGCTCTCTTTCACCTGTACATTTGGTCTTAGCACTAGAGCCTTTATTGGATGCACTTCAAGTACTGATACAAACCCTGCAACATTGCATCCCATAAAAAGAGACAGTGGGGTGTGGGCCAAAATGGGGTGTGCCAGTGATGTGACCTATGCCATTGGCACAGGCCAAAAGGAAAGGGGGCGGGGCCCACCCGAAAAATAGTCATGTTAGCCTTGCATGAATTCGTGCTAGGCTGACTTCTAATCATGAACAGACCACGCACCATAAACTAGTGACTTATATGAACAGTCTTTGGTTTACTATCACAGCCTGTCATATAATTATGGACAAATTATGAAAATAAAAACTAGTTTTCAATGTCCAAACATCCAAAGTCTTAACATCTTCGTTTAAAGCACACAGGTGAATTAACTAATGGGATGTCTTTTACTAACACTTTGAATTTGTTTTTCATTTGAACTATAGAAGCTATATGGTCTCAATTTAAATGATAAATACATATAGCAGATAAATAAAAAGACCTGAAGTCCTACAAAGTAACATGTGCTTCATATTTAATATTTCAGTCACCAGCAAACTCAGTAGGCCTTTATAAAATTAATTGTGGACTCAGTTTTTATTAAAACTGTTTTTAAGACTTATGCGTATCCTAAAAAGAAACGGGGCATAGGCTTGCCTGACGTTAAACATACTTTACATTGTTGTTGTTTTTTAATCTAGAAGACCATGTGTTAAACTTTTGATTCCTTTAGAAAAGCTACTATCTCTGATTTCTTTGGCACCTCACGCCAAGGCTTTCTAATTGTTGATTATTCCTTGACTTTTGTTGAAATAAGATCCTACAACTTATCTAAATCTACATTGTTGAAAAAAATGAAAATTATAAAAAAAATTAAAAAATAGAACTTTCTTTCCAATCACCCTTCATTTTTGAAAAATAATTGAACAATTGATGGTCAAAGATTACATTACCTAAAATTATTGCCAAGCCAATAACTATTTTGTAAAGTAACTCATTTTAAGAGAATCTACACAACTTCTGATTCATTGCCTCATGGTATATTAACAATCTATTCTTTATCTAATCCAGAAACTTTGTTGGCTAAATTTGAGGCTTAATGGAAATCAGATTTAAATCATGGACAAAATCAGTGGGCTGTCTCATCTTACCCACTCAGTTTACTCACTCACTCACTTTGATCTCCGGTAAGTTTGTAAAACTAACGTCTTGCTTGTTGGTACTGCATCCCCTATATTTTTACTTTAAATTTCTCTACGTAGGACATAGACATTTGTGGTCACATTTGGTAGGAATGCTGATATAGGGGAGCCAGAATGACGAAGGTAACTCTCTACTACAGTTGGTGAATGAATGAATACTGATACATACTATATTATCAAAGGAAAAACTATATTTCGTAAGTACTGCTTGATAACATTCCATTACCAAGTTAAATCCATCTCACACTTAGCTATTTTCAGCACAGCCAAATAACTAACTTAATGTTGGTAAAGGGTTGTGCTGAAACTTTTTTTTTTAAATTAGTTTTCTTTATATTGTTAATAACATATTTTGCCAAACACAGGAAAGAGGCATTGTCACTTCTCTGTAAATAGCAGGTTTTTTTGTCACTTGTTTTTTCCCTTGATATGTTTGTTTATTTGCATTAGCACTTGATGAGAAAATCTGTAATTTATAGTGACTTTGTTTTTTGACAGTTACACGTGTTATGCTAGATAGACTCCACGGCGGTAATTTGCTCTTAAAAACTACTGTAAACAAAACAATGAACAGAACAGAACATGACCCCATGGCATTTCCTCTCCAACTATTATTCAGTTTCTAAATCATTTTAAATTAGATGTCCCCTAATTAATGATGAAAACCATGAATACCATTATATTGAAAATGAATTTATATCGCTAAATGAAGTAAGTAAAGTAAATCATAAATTACTATTATCGTCTCAAAATAAATTCTCTGTTTTGAATTGTATGCCTTCTGCTAAATATATAATATTAAAACATACAAGCAATGTCTGGTTGAGTTAGCAGGAGGACAAAGTCCATTATCCTCACTATCTTGATATATCTACTTGAATTAGATTGTCACTTTATATTAGTTTAATGGAATTTGAGAAAGTGTTGAAGTGGGATTTGAAGGTTGCAAAAACTATTTTTGTCAACTTTTCTCATTTTCAAACTATTTATCTTTTCATAATTATAGTTTTTTAAACTATTTGTTCAAATCAAATTAAAATATGGGTACAAATAATTTAGATCTAGTTTTATCTTTTAATGTTCTTAGTTTGAAATTGCTGAAATTTAGCTTACTGTACTTATTTATTGAATTTTTTAATTGATCTTGCCTGCTAATTATTGTAAATGAAAATGAATAAAAAAACATTTCAATAGGTAAAAATATAACATAAAGTTAAAGATACTTTCCTTATGGTCAAACTGACGGCACAGGTCAGGGGGACTTTGAGGAAAATCAATAAAAAAGGTCTGGGGACTATGACTAAATGAATTAAGAGGAGTAGGAGAGAGAAGCATGTAGCTATGTATGTATGTATGTGTGTGTATATGTGTGTATATATATATATATATGTTTATAATTCAATTTTTTTATCTCTCTCCCTCTCCTAGCATGTCCCCGATCTGACAGATGGTCTCCCTGCCCCTTCGCCCTAGAAACCCCAGACTGAGCTTAAAAGACATGTGCCATCTCGTAGTATCAATTACTACTCACCGCTTACCCCTTCCATAGATTATGGCATTGTGATTTACATTAACTTACTCAAGAAGACCCCACATCTTCCTCTCTTTATCTTTTCTCCTTTCCTCATCTTCCTTGTTCCTTCTCTGCTTCTTCTGTTCTTTCTTGGATGTTAGTTTACCTGACAGAAACTCTACATTCGGTTTAATGTTACTGAGTTTTATTTCCTTGATAGTTCTTAAAATCTTTGGTAATGTACTGGATATGCAACTGTAACTGTCTGGATTATTTCCTCTTTGATGTGATGCAGCAACGCATTGTATTCTCCATTTTTGTATGTGAGATTATGCAAACTGACGGAATGTTGCACCACTCAGACATTCTATTATATCTCCGCATTATGAGATTATCACCGTATGCTGTACATAAATAAATATTTGCTAGAATATAAAATAGTAGACCCAACATTAAAAATGTAATATGTTTGTAAAAAGTTACGATCTTGAAATTCATGTGTACTCCTAATGTAAGAAAAAATACTCAAAGTATAATGTTGACTTTAAATGGTTAAAGCCAGAATGGTATTGCGCAATAATGGGCTTATCTGATTCTTCTAAACTCTTGTCACCCTCATTTAAGTAAATACATACAAATCCACAGCATGCATCATTTTGAAAAAATAGTAAAAGCAGGAAAAAAAAAGATTTTTTTTGATAGTTGAAACCTGCCTATTTTTCCGGGTATTTGCATATCAGTGCCTGAACGGGCTAGTCACTACACGTAGCTGTAGATCTGATGGTATTACATTATTATTATTATTATGGTATTTATATAGCGCCAACAAATTCTGCAGCGCTTTACAATGGGTTGATTTTATTATAAAGGAAATAAAAGCCCCATAAATGTAAACACAGTTGACATGGAAGCGGTACACTAAAAACCAAACTGCGGTAAATTGAAAACGCAAAATAAAAAAATGTAGTCTAAAATAACTAGCATGTAATCAGAGGCGTAGCTAGATGGCCCCTACCCTTACCCCCCCCACGCAGACAAACAAATACACATGCAGACACACACACATATACAGACACACTAGATCACTAGATGCAGGGGGTGACTTCCCCTGAGTCAAGTGGTGGCTCAGGCTGACGGGAGTCAGAGTTCCAAATCTGCTTCCCTCCTCTCCTTCCGGTGTAAGCTGGGAGGAGTGACCGGGGCTGTCACTTTCTCCCCAGCTTTGATGGAAACTCATTGCTATCGGGTAGCCCTAACAGCATTACCACCCACTGGGCCCCTTCAATGCGGCGGGCCGGGGCCACTTTACTTAGTCAGCAGGCACCACGGTCACAGGGCTGCCAGGACCCCTGGAGTGACGGGACCTGTTGCAGCTGAAACCCCTGAAACCGCGGTAGTTCCGCCACTGCGTGTAATTTGGAATTCAATTTTCAATTCAGTGCTTATTTATCTACTTGTAATGGTGGGATTTATTCAATAAAGTGCGATAGAACAGGTATAGGGGTTTGGGAACAGGAAGAAAGAAGAAAGGCATATTTCACATATCTAGCCCAGCAAAATTCAGGGGTAAAATGTGAGATGTTTGTTGTGACAACCCAAAAAGGTGAAGGTATTGTGTACAATACACTATATAGAGACTGTCTGGTGCCAAGTCCTACAGATGTATGACACTACACTAGCCATTAGATAAGCTGATATAAGCCAAGAATAAATGTGAAAGGGTTTATAAACTACCCCTTCCTGTCTTAATGGAGATTCTTGGCTGATATCAGCATATCTAATGGCTAGTGTAGGACTCACCTATTGAGGCTTGCCTTGACGTGGCAGGTGAGCTTATGTATTCAAATGGCCATTGGAATAA